AATATAATTAATATAATTAAATATTAATAAAACGCATAAATCTAACTCGTATATTCAAATATTTGTATTGATAAGAAATATGTTAATATTATTTATAGAAAGAATAATATTAATATAATTAAATATTAATAAAACGCATAAATCTAACTCGTATATTCAAATATTTGTATTGATAAGAAATATGTTAATATTAAAAGATATTTTTATAGAAAGAGCTACCTTAAAGTTGATGACCCTGACGGCGCGATCAATGGTCATGTCCACGCGTATCCTATTGTGCAGCCTCAATGATATGGTACCGTGGGGGGTGGCAACAACACCGCCGACACCGGCGTCAGTATCATGCTCCCTCCAGTTTTCCGTATAAATGGAAGCTTCGTCGGTAGCATAATAAGGTCCGCCGATCGACTTCCTAGGCTGTCGCCAGATCGCCGCCGATCCTGAATACGCGGTTCCCCCATTTAGCCCGTTCCATTGTTCGGCCGGGGGCTCGAAGTACTTGGACAACTCGCTGTACCGCTGCAAGATCATTCAGAAGAAAGATCATGAATATTATAAGGTCACAGTCTAAATAAATCTATATTATACTTTACAATTCTAATAACTCGAGCAAATATATTTATGCTTTTAATATTTCAGAAGAAAGTTTTGAAGAAAATTTTCTTCTATTAGTATCATATGTTATTTTCATACAACTGTTATAATAGCAATATTTTTCATATTTTTTATTTTTTTTTAATTAAATCAAATTTTTTATATTTTCATAATTGTATAAAATCTCAAGTAATTTTTAAGTGAATGAAACAAATTTTTAAATGATATTTAAGATTCTGTTTCCTTTTTTATAATATTCCTTGTGCTCTGTTTATCATATTTTTTTTTTAGATTTTCTTCAATTATCTTAATAAAAAGTATCCGAATTAAATTTCTTGAAATCATTTCGAGATGCAAATTCTCGTTATCTGAAATCATTCTTGTTTATGCTTGAAATAAGAACACAAAAATAGATTAAAGAGATAAAAGTTCAGAGTTTGACTGTACTTGAAAATTGGTGGGATCTTCAGATTGAGCATGATAATTGTGTGCGGTATAAAGAGATCTAGGTCGTATAGCTGTGCTTGAGTTAGTCTGATTCTGTATCGTTACGGGATACGATGGTGCTGTTTGCATCGTTGATAAGATAAAGGGCTTATGTATCTCCTTCCGGTATTCGCTGCAGGTATTTGTCATTTCCTTTACCTCAAAAGGGATATAAATTGTCGTTTTATATGTATGAGTTATATATTTATTGAAATAGAAGTGATTTTACTTTTTTAATAATTTGAGAAAAAAATTGCAATTGAGAAATTAAATTTGGGATTATTTTTGGAGCCTTTAATTAAATTATCTTTACTTTCACTAAATTTTTTTTTTATAAAAATGCGCCGTAAACTCTCCATTTAATAATCGAAAAATATTTAATCTTTTCAGAAGCTGGATTATTAAACATCAAAATTATGCGATTAATAAATTGTAAACGAAATTATAAATAATAGAAAAACGCAAGAAAGAACCGCCACGTAAAAAACGCACTTTGGAGTCGCCGGCGATAGCGGCGTTCTTCGGTTTCTTGCGCCGGGACTTCCGGTGCTTGGTGACCGTCGTCTGGCCGACTTCGTCTGGGCGATCCACGGTTGAAGCGATTTTGAATTTTCCGGGATCGACGATGTTACTGCGTCTCGGCAGTCGTGGCTATTAGCTCGCGTAAGCTTCACTTGGAGCGGAAATTCGCACGGCAGGCTGCTGATGCTGTGTGCTAAATAAGTGAGCATCTCAGTCGCCCTGGTGATTCGCCGAAAGACAGCTGATAATCTTATTGATAATCTGGAAGTTTTTGTGGCCGACGCAGACCTCCGCTCGCATGATTGTTGGCGGTAAAAAAATATCCAATCACAAATCGAAAAGCAGTTTAAAAAAAATGTAATGCAGTAAAATATTTATATAGAATTTGGGTCTTACAACTAGTGGACTTTGATAATTGCGTTATATAATTAAATTTTTATAGAAATTGAGAATTGAAAGAACAGATTTTTGTAACTTTGGATATTCGCGCGAATAAATTTGGATATTAGAATATTATAGCGGACATTTTTATACATTTAAATATATATATATATATATTTTTTTTTAATTTGTGTAAAATGCCATAAGTTTGTAAGGATGTTTATAAAAACCGGGCAAAAAAAAGCGTATTACATTTCAATATCTCGGAACAGTCATTAAAATATTGCATAAGTCTGACTTATAAATCGCGGAATACAATAATTATAAAAATTAATCTCGTTACATGAAGCATCTAATTATGATCAATTATTTGCGAGTTATTTCCAGTCTTGAGGAGCATTGCAATGTAAATTGAATCTTATTTTTTTATGTAACGATATCGCGACTCTCTTCCCCCTCATTCTACTTTTCTCTTTTTTTTCCATAGGCATAATTCGGTAATTTGGTTCGAGGATGACAAATTTCGAATCAAATCAATTCGATTGATATTCTAATGAAACTCAGTTGCCAAAACACTTAATGTTTTTTTGTATAATTTATTAATTATAACGCAAGAATTAATGTATAATTAAATAGAAGAATAAAAGACCAAGATAAAAGGATATTGACTTCGAAGAAACCATGGTAGTGATAAAGAAAAAAACATCGTTGAGCCATTCGAACCATTGTCCAGTATTTTGATTCGTTCATGCAACTGTATCGTGAATATTTCTTTTCAACTGCTCTTGTCATTGCCAAGTCTACAATATGCGCATAGATAGTCACGCATCCCCACTTTGCGAAAAAGTGACTTGCTTTTAACATTTGTAGATATTATTCAATTGTTGTCATGTATTTGCGATGCAATTATCAAACTACAAGTTGAATCAATGAATCGAGTGAAATTCAACGAAATTTTAAATATCTCGTCTCTGTTTAAGACTCTCGTCTTGCTAGAAATTCTCCTTCAAATTTTACGCGTTCTGTCAATTTCTTGTTGTTATTACATGTTACGTAAAAGTAAAGTGTTTTGCAACAATGTACATACGTGCTGTGCACAATAAGTATGTCGTGCAAAAACATTGCAAAAATAAAAATATACTCGTGATACAATTATTTTTCATAGAGATCACGACTTTTTTCAACACAAATGAACTTGAGAAAGAGCAAGCTCCAGGAAGATAATATTATCTTTATGTTGCAGAGATTTTTTAAAAGTTTTTCCGCTTCACGTTCAGATGTCATGTTGCCGTATGCTTGTGTTCTATTTTATATCAATTCGCTGACGTTGATATACAATTTTTTGCTCGTTATTGCAACTGCAAATCGACGAAATTGGAACGAATTGGACTTGAAATTTTAATACGCAGAGTATTCAGTATTCAGATCTAAAAAAAAATAAAAAATTTGCGAAAATTCAAATTTGTGTTACTAAAAGAAATAAGAGATAAAAATGGAATGTTTCCTTGAAGATCTGACGTGACAAACGATTTGACAATGAAATGTTACGCGCGATAATAATCATCAATAGAATAAATTACAAAAAGATGAAACAGACAAGTCGTTTTTTCTCAGAGAGGGGATACGTGTCTTTATCTATACGCACGTGTTGTAAGCTCTTCTCAGTACACGATCGTCCATGCACGTGCTTCATTCACTCTTGTAGACTCTATTTGTGGACCAATCAACCTTTCTCATCACTGATTAATTCGGAATGATTTCTCTGGCAATAACTATGGCTCTCCTTATGCTCGCGCTGACATTAGGTAAACGTTTTTTTTGTCTTTATCTTTTCAAATTTATTCTGTTTTATACAGAATTTTTAAAGAAAATTGTGAACTTTTCCGCAACATATTCCATGCTAAACTTGTGAATAATTAATAATTTATGAATAATAAATAAAATTTATAAATAAATATAACACAATACGAAAAATAAATATGCTTCCAGAGTCTGTAAGCTAATACATATCAGATGTTACTATGAGAGATGCAAAAAATTAATTTTTGTTTCATTAGGTGTACGAATTGTTTTTATTCTGTTATAAAAATGTAAATAAATCGTACATCTGATAAAATACGAAATTTCTCACATTCCATACTTTTATAACATATACATCCCAGGGAAAAAATCTATATATCAAATATAAATATATAATAATGATATATAAAAAATGTGCTTGTATATCTTCATTCTTTCGTATAATCTATATTCGTATGTACAGAAAAGATGATAAGAAGAATAATTGAAAAAAATAATTGAAATAATTTTTGTATAGTTTATTTAAAAAAAGTGAAACTTTTAAAGAAGCGAGAAAAAATTGTTTATACATAAATTTATACATGATTATATATGGACATTTTTTCTCACTTCTTCAAA